AGCTTCAATGTAGCTTCACCAGAAAAAAATCCATAAACTCTCAGTAATAAATAGGACATTTAAATTAAAGTTTTATTACACAAACTCTCACTAAACTTACAAATTTATGAGAGAGGGGGTGATCATGATAGAAAAGATCTCTTATCAAAATGGTAGCAAACTACAAAATAGAGGCAGTTACCAGCCCAGCCGTGTATGGTTTCTTACATTGTTCAAATGCTCTTCCAAAAACAACTTCCCAAAAAGAAACATGACTTAGTACAGCAGTGTGAAATACTCACAACAACTCCCTCCCCCCCCACATTAAATTTACCTGGTTTTAAGATTTCTAAAATTTAAAATGTATTTAAGGCTTTAAGAAAGTTATACTAAAGTTCAAAGATTTTTAAAAAGAATATTGTAGACCCAGCTTAAAACAAATCTTATAGTTTTTGGATTTGCACTGAAAATGAAATCTGAAGCTTTGCGCACAATACCCAGAAAAAAACTCAACATTTGATAGCGTTTTGCTCTGAATTCTGGATTAATTTAAACCCCAAACTCAAAGTGAAACGAGGTCTGTAGACTCAACATAACAGAATTTCAAAAATGTGGTTGCATGAAACCCTGAGAACTAAAATCTCTCAATTTCCCACGGCTCTGATTCTTAGGCACTATTTCAGAATCTGAAGATGACTGACACAGTGTTAAAATTTAAAATGTAACATATAAAACATATTTCCAATTATTATTAGTGGATAATCAGAGCAGTGGTTCCCAACACCTTCTGCTCCACAGAGTTGGCTGGGCTCAGCTCTCTGCTGTGTGTTGTGACCTAGCCCAGGCATGTGGCATAGGTGTTGTGTCAGAGAGCAGAGCCGTGCCAGCTCTGGAGCAAAAGCTGTTTGGGAACCACTGCCTTGGTCTAGCTCCATAACAGAGAGGAACATCTGAGTGAGTGGTATTGCAAACATGCACGAGGTACCAGGTCACAATGCCCAGAGCAGGGAGCCAAACCCGGCCAACCCTGCAGGATAGGAGCTTGCTCAGCTGGGGCAGTTTCTGGCTTTTGTCTCACAGCTTGTCTGAGGTCACAACCCACAGTATAGAGATGGTTAATTTAGACAGCTATAAGAAGATGTTCACTGATATTTGTACAGTGCTATGAAGTGTAACAGAAGTATTTATTAATGAGCAGCACAAATTCATTGAAGTAGTAATAAGCCATTTGGAAATAAAATACTTTAAAATAAATACAGCTAGCTGCCTGTGTCTCACAGCTTGTCTGAGGTCACAACCCACAGTATAGAGATGGTTAATTTAGACAGCTATAAGAAGATGTTCACTGATATTTGTACAGTGCTATGAAGTGTAACAGAAGTATTTATTAATGAGCAGCACAAATTCATTGAAGTAGTAATAAGCCATTTGGAAATAAAATACTTTAAAATAAATACAGCTAGCTGCCTGTAGAAAAAAAAAGTACCATAAACATTTTGTGATACCATCTCATGTGAAGGCCTCAGTTAAATTGTGGTTTCCTGTTACTGGGTGTTTAAGTGGGAGGGAGTTAATCAACTCAAAGACCTGTCATAGGTAAGGAACTCCTGATTTACCAGTTTACTCTATTGTTACTACTGAAGTAAGCTGGTTTCTGTGCAAGCTCGGGATCAGCCTGGATAGTGTCAGTTGCAGGAACAGGCTCTGGTTTTGATCACCTCTTCCAAGCAGCTATGACCACATTTATTTTAAATAAAAACCCTTCAGCAGTTAGAAGAGTTTCTGTGGTTTCCTGGTCTCTTTACCTGTCTGTATCAACACAGAGATTTATAAAACTCTGCTTACTAAAATTAATCGTAAAATCAATAAATAAATAAATAAATGTGGGTGTAATACCACAAAGGAAAATATGCCCATAAACAGATCACACAGTAATGACTGTTATAAGAACATTACAGGATATGCATCAGCACAGAGGAAAAACAGGTCGACTCAAAATACATTATTTTCTAATTTTCTCAGACTTCAGCCAAGTGATGGAAGAAGCTTCCTACTGAAATTGCTAACATGCAATCAATACTTACAGTGCATAAGAGTTTCATTCAGGTTGTGTGACTGATGCTAGACATTCACATTTTACAGACTGATTTAAGACAGTTTCCTTCTCTACACTTATGTTTTTTTCTTTCCTATGCCTTTGAGATTTAGGACACTTGATGAAACGTATTCAATAATTAACACTATGCAAAACTATTCTTTTTGGAGGCGAGTACCATACCTTTCACACTGAGATTAAGCATCTAAAATAATTGAAAGGAATGTAAATTGGTGTCAGATGCACCTATGCAGTTTTGAGCCTGACTTCAAGAGAAAAAGTGTGGCCTTTTCTGTCCTTTTGTTTCCTTCTGGCAGCCATGCACAAGTGAGTGGATCATCCCTGAACTGGTATCAAAAAGATCCTTTCACAAACTGTCCAAGAGAACTAGGTTGGGCTTAACCTGCAATATTCAGATCCAGATAGGAAACCCTCCTTCTCCTCTTACACAAAGTTCACGGATGCTCAGAATTAAGAACACAAGGGAATTAGAAAATGCTGTTTGCCCAGGGTTGTGGTTAAAGCAAATAATTGGAAGGGAATTTTCTTGAAACAACAGAATCCTTGGAGTCATAGTCTTTCACAATTTTTTGGTCAAGTATGTTATGGTTGCTAAGGAGATGTTGTAGTCTAATGTTTGTGTAGACAGGGACCTAGCCTGCACACCCATAACTGAATTCTCTAGGTGACAGCAGGAGATACCCAACCTCTTCTCTTCATTGTACCTATCTATTTCTGTGAAAAAGATTTGGAGTGCCAAGGAAAACAAAAGTTCTGGAATTCAATGCAAGTAATATGACAGGAGTAGCAAAGTTACATTTCATTTGACTTTAGCTTTTCAGATCAGAAGGGAGTACTGATCTCGCATGGGATGCGAAAGAAGGGGCAGAACGGAGGACTTTGCAGAAGAGTGTGGAAAAGATTGAATGATTCCAGGTCTGACCTCTAACTCAATGCCAACGTACTCCACCAACTGTTGATAAAGCAGCATGCAACTCCTTGAAAGTCATCCATTTCTGGCCCTTCCTCCCCAATGCAGCTGAGGAGCAGTTCAAACATATAGGACTACAGGCCCAGGATTCTCCCCCCCCATTCCCACAGTACTCACTTAAGGGGCAAAATTGTATGTTTTGGCTCCCTGAAGCCACCAAAGGACAGCTTGCTAAACATCCTCTGCTGAGGATGGAAACAGAGGCAAAGGATAAGACAGCAAAGACATATTGAAAGAAAACAGAGGCAGAGAAGAGCATCAATGTGAAAACTGGCAGGAAAAAGGAGGGCAAATTTAAAGTTAAATATCGCTCACATTATAAAGCCAGTACTACCACCATGTTGACAATCTCAGAAGTGAGACAAGGATTAAATGGACATTGAAAGTGAATTATGTTTTCACCTCTTGGCTGAACCTACAGCTAGATTTTTAGGAAAATCCGTTTCCCTAAACAATAAGAGATCTGTTGACAGAACACATTTAATAAAGCCTTTGAAATAAATGAAGAAAGATGAAGCAAGGAAGTGATGGCAAGCATGCTGTATCTCAGCAGTTCAATAACCTCAATTCATGAGCAAAAACTTAAATGTTAAGGAGATACTAAATCTGTAGACACTGCATCCAAATACATACACCCATGGTGTATGGAGAGGAAGGAAAAATCTCCAGAGAAATATTGGCTTCAGCAGTTTGCATATTTGCCATTGGTTTTATTCCCAAAAGTTGCCTATTAGTCCCAAGAAACTTCACATAAACAAAAAGTCTGCCTGTTTTATACATACAGATCTACATAATTTCCTATGAGGCTACAGAAATTTGTGACCAAAATTTCTCTCGGGTTTTTATAAGCTTCTATCCCACTTTGCTATTCTGGGGAAAGTGT